GAGACGAATCCAACTTCCGGATGGTTGCCCGCAAATCTGGCCAGTTACGCATTATTGATTCGTGTTGTATCATACTAGTCCGTCGGATCAAGACTGCCTACACCAATCTCTCAGCCTGGTTTATTGTTCTCCTCTCCATATCGGTCAGAGAACCCGCCAATTCAAAACGTTATCCTACTTACATAATAGAAGTAGATTTCGTAAATCAATACTCGCGTTCATCTTCGAGGCCATAATAGAAAAGGAATATCATCAAACAAAGACTCACTTACGCATAGTAGGAAACGTGCAAGTGACTGAGATGAAAGGTGAAGTGTACCTTAGAAAACTAGTTCTGGTACAAAGTTGTGAGGACCCTGTTATCAAACTCCAGACTGTAGAAAGTAGCCAAGCCTTAACTACAAGCTTCGCGGAGAAAAGCGAACAGCTAATGAAGTCAGTGGCCATTCTGAGAAAAGAAAAATGTGAGCAACTGGTTTTTCACAAATGCATGACGAAGAAGACGTTGAGGTGAATTGGAGAATACTGTTTCTGTCATCTGAGTACGTTTTTCGGAATGTCCACATTCGTTGAATGTGTCACGCCCTCTCTTGTACCTTTCAAATATGTTTTAGATGCCACTCAGGCTTGTGGCGGACCGGGACGAGGCTTGTGCAAGGAGGTGATCTCACCACCTGAGGATCTTGAAGCGTTTCCACTGGAAGAACAAATATTGCTGGACGACCGGCTGAATTGGCCAACCCGATTTTTTCAGGCGTTATGTTCATGCCAGGTATGAAATATTTGTGTTCAATGTGTAGACCATTGAATGAGTTTAAATTCTCAACTTAATTACATCGGTTTAGTCCACGAAGACGCCTGGAAATTTACCTGTCTACCCCAATATGGCAAAACTTAACAGAACCGAACTCATCAGTTTGCCGGAAATTCTTCTGTAGTCAGTGACCGGTTTAACCTTTCTTGCGGTTCATCAACTAGGCGCATTCCATAGTTTCCATCAAATTTATGTCCTGATTAGAGCCGAAGTAGACGCAATTCGTGAAACATTCATTGGAATGCTAATTTGGTTTTAACGCGAGCAGAATACTAGGAATGCCAATTTGGTTTTAACGCGAGCAGAATACTAGGAATGCCAATTTGGTTTTAACGCGAGCAGAATACTAGGAATGCCAATTTGGTTTTAACGCGAGCAGAATACTAGGAATGCCAATTTGGTTTTAACGCGAGCAGAATACTAGGAATGCCAATTTGGTTTTAACGCGAGCAGAATACTAGGAATGCCAATTTGGTTTTAACGCGAGCAGAATACTAGGAATGCCAATTTGGTTTTAACGCGAGCAGAATACTAGGAATGCCAATTTGGTTTTAACGCGAGCAGAATACTAGGAATGCCAATTTGGTTTTAACGCGAGCAGAATACTAGGAATGCCAATTTGGTTTTAACGCGAGCAGAATACTAGGAATGCCAATTTGGTTTTAACGCGAGCAGAATACTAGGAATGCCAATTTGGTTTTAACGCGAGCAGAATACTAGGAATGCCAATTTGGTTTTAACGCGAGCAGAATACTAGGAATGCCAATTTGGTTTTAACGCGAGCAGAATACTAGGAATGCCAATTTGGTTTTAACGCGAGCAGAATACTAGGAATGCCAATTTGGTTTTAACGCGAGCAGAATACTAGGAATGCCAATTTGGTTTTAACGCGAGCAGAATACTAGGAATGCCAATTTGGTTTTAACGCGAGCAGAATACTAGGAATGCCAATTTGGTTTTAACGCGAGCAGAATACTACAAATAAAAGGTTCATGTGGATTCCTTTCAAAAGTAAATATGTGTGCAACTGGTGAAAGGAAGAAGGCCTCCGCTGCGGAGTTATTTATTAGAAAACGCCAAGTGAACAGACTACTGGACAGGGAAGCAAAACTCCCATATGCATTTTGTTTACGAAAACTAGATATCCATCTTCTCCTTCAAAGCGTCTTCCTCAACTTTCCTGGATATTCATTGCTCAAGTGCAAGCAAATGCGACTCCACAAATTCCGTAATAGATCGCCGTTTGCAAGAGACGCGAAGTGGATTTATGGGGAAACATACTACTTGCATACCCCTATCAGTAGTATCCACCGTTACACTGGTAGTGCTTCGTGAATTAATGGTATATCATTTTTGACTGCGGTCTTCTTTGAGGAGATGTACGCCCAGAACCACAAAGGTTTTCAAAATGTTTGATTATATGACCAGTAGCCTACCTGGTTACTGGTTCAGCTTTAGTAGCTAATTGCCGCATAAAACGAACCAGTGTTGCGATCACATCTGGTCAACTTTTGGGAGAAAACAGGTTGGCCTGGGAGTACAGCATTCCTATTTTGAAAACATGGCCTATTGTGCTAAGTCGTTCAAATGTTTAAGAGAGAACTAATAGACACCCGGATCAAACGTGAGTAGGAACATCACGACAGCGTGCGTCCAACTACACCCTCAACCATGTGTACCAGACGGCGCTCTGACTCTGTACTTATTTGGTGTATTTCTCTGGAATTATCGTTCAGCAACTGTGGAATAGGACCATCACAATTCGTATAAAGTGCCTCCCTACAGAACGTTTTTTCGTATCAATTGAAGACGTTCTGTAGTATTCGGAAAGTATCATACAACAAGTAAAATATCTCAAAGAGAGATTTCTGATTAGGAGACAGTAAACCCTGACTACAACAAAGAAAAGTTCGTTTTCAGGGGCCACCTGCGGCTCCGCGGCAGCTGTTGGGAATTACCAATACAGAAAAGCACATTATTTTTGATCTCTTCCGTTTGGAAGTCCACTTTCGATTCTTGCGATCAGCTGAGAACTTAGATTGTAGGGGTGTATCCCACAACTCCTGATTGTGTTTATCCCAAGTGCATCATCATTTCCACCTGTTTAGGGAAACTTCAAAGGGTTTGCATGCCACCGGTGCAAGACTGGATGGACCGGAGTCAACTGTACGATCCGTCGCCCGACCCGTGTTCGTCAGAATGTACTCACCCTAAGCGTAGCGGAACAACGCCAATTTCGTGACCGCATCAGTCTGTCCAAGAGAACACCAATGACCGAGTGGCTTGCTCTCAATATTTCCACCAGTCTCAATGGGGATCCGGCAAATTTGAGAACTATTCAGTTGGTTCAAGTTCCATCGGTCTACGACTACTTTGTCTTCTTGCATGTGTATGCTTCGAGAAGCACGTTGACGATGAGTTCAATCTGGCAGTCAAAATGTGATCCCAGACAACAGAAACTTGATTTTGCTCACAAAGTAAGTTTTGCATTGAAAGCCTTCACCTGGTGGCTAATGGTTATGTGACAGTTCAGAACACTTATTCATGTTTGGGCGGTCTCATTCCATTCGTTCTTGGGGACTCCAAAGGGAAAGGGATTCTCGTGTGTCAGAAATGGACTTACAGAATAACTAAAAGCGTTGCTTGTAGGACCAAATTCATGACTCGGTGCTGGAATAACGTTCCGTGATCTTCGAGTTTGACCACAAAATGATGCAGCAACTACTCAGTGCAATTGGTATGCATAAAACTGGCACACACTGATCAATTTTCAGGTCCGGATAAAACTGAAAGTAAAAATCTCTAATTTCATGTATCTTTTCCAAAAAACTCAGTGACTTTAAGTATGCACTTTATACGTCCCCACATTCAACTAAGCCCGCCCTACTGCCTGCTCCTCGAGACTTTGGGACTCCGAAATCCGGAACCGTCATTTTCACCGATCCAGGACTGTCCGCGGATAGTACCTCTTCTGTGACTTTCAGGTTGTTTTGTTACTAAAGATGGAGTGCAGCCTTATACACGTGACCGATCCTCTTTGCTTCAAAACATTTCACAAAATACCGTTTTCCCCTTTCCCGCTGGGCTACTGGAAGTAGTCTGCTCTAATGCCATTTCAGTCTGTCGGGTGTATGAGTGCTAGCGAAGTGATCGAAGTACACACAGCGCTATACGATTTTCCAAAATTTTAGGGCCCAGGCTTTCCTACCTGGCATCGTGCCTATGTGCTTTTTGTGGAGGAAGAACTGGGCAGGTTGAACCCGCTGCCTACGGATCCTTTTTCCAAACGGGATGGAGACAACTTCGCTCTGCCTTACTGGGACTGGACCGGGCAAACCGGCTGTTCAGTGTGCACAACTGACTTGGTCGGAGCGTTCTCACCGAATGGTCAATTACTGGACTCAAGTCCATTCGCTGACTGGGTCACATTCTGCCCGCAAAGACCGGAATTCGACGACTGCCATGTCTGTGATCCAGGTAGGATGCATCTAATGGAAGTCTTGCCGTCTGACTGAGATTGATATTATTTTCATAATAATCAGGTATTGCGTTTGTTTGTATTACACCTGTCCTCCCCTGGGGGACCACTTCTTTCGGCATGTCCTTTGAGATAAGGCAAAAAATCACTGCCCCTAAGTAATCTCCCGTCTGACTGAGATTGATATTATTTTCATAATAATCAGGTATTGCTGCCGTTTGTATTACACCTGTCCTCCCCTGGGGGACCACTTCTTTCGGCATGTCCTTTGAGATAAGGCAAAAAATCACTGCCCCTGGTTAAGTAATCTCATAAGGGAACTATAGGACATGTGGAAGAAGTGTCTGTCCCACCAAACGAAGTGGTTAGATCCCACACAGTTAGGGTTAGTCGAGAGTTCATGAGCTCACCGTATGTCTGTCAGACCTAGTTGACACAGGGTTCCGAGTTCACGTCGAATTACATCGCCTCAAACGAGGAGATCTGTGCAGGGGCCGCACATATTTCGATTCCGTCCTGTTTCCAACAAAGAATGTCTGTCGCAATGCTCAAACAGCCGACAACGGACCTGACGATGGTGAACCACTTTCTTAGTTGGTTTTATGGGTGACAACCTCAAGGCGTACAGGGAAAAGGACAGGAACTTTTTTCGGACAGTTCGTTTTATGGTTTGTGAGGAACTCGTTCGAGCCACTGCGGTCTAGGGTGTAATTTCAAATTCGCATTAACGAAAGCCGATCGGGTCCAAACTTCACGTGCGCAACAGGCCAAACCAATGAATGCCTTTGACCCGTAATGGCAACTTCTTGCCTCTATGAAGTAGGATGGAAGTAGTATGGGAGTGGTAAGTTTGCCGGATGCTCGTCGCTCAACAAAATGCTGCATAGTGAGCAAATGGCAACCAAAGAATTCCCCATCTGTTGCTGACACTTCCTGGGACAGAGTGTATCCGTATGGGACCGCAGGATCACTCGGCTAGTGTGATAGACGCCAACTCAAACAAAGCGTGCTGGGACCAAAAAGTTGGACAGATGGAGGAGGTCAGTGCAGTGCATAATGCATGAAAGGTAATTCGGAACGGAGGACCAAGTTCGCCATCTATTGGTGAGCTTATCAAAGTCAATGTTGAAAATATAGTTTGAGATAGAAGCCAGTGTCTAGATGGTTGGACAGAATATATTCAACAACAGTCAAGTTAGCAGACGGCTTCTATAACTACGTAGTTCATCCGAACTATATCATCTCGGGACTAAGATCATCACTGTCCCGATTTGGTTCACCACTGCGCCTTCAGTTTTGCCCGGGTTCAGGAAGCCAGCTGACTTGAGTGTGGTCTAGATATCCGACGTGCACCGAACCCGCGACAGATCACCACCGTCTCACCTGACCCACAAGTAGAGCTGTTGCGTTAACTTCTGAACCACAGGTGCTCTGGCAAGCGAGATCTGCCTATCCATGGATGGAAGAAATAAAGGCCAAGTTTTCAATTCAAGGGGCTTGTTTACGCCGTGCGGAGTGGACACAAGCCGTCTCGGGACTATGCACACGAGGTAGATTCACACCCTCCACCAATCTGTTGGTGATTGATTCAGCCATTAGTGGCTTAACAGCAGTGCAGTTAACTCGCATTTGGACAGGATATAACACCACCCATGTTTCAGCGGCGTAATTCACATCACGTGATCACGTGCTGACTGGCCTCTCAAATGACGACATTTCAGATAAAAGGCTCACGCAACTTGTGATAAGTCCTCACTTATGAACTGTGCAGAGTTCACGCCGATGTTATCTCGATAAAACATGATAAAACGTTTGCAATCCAACTTTCAAGCCCTGCGAAAAGATCAACAACAAACAAGTTCTACTCGTAGATGGAGAAGGACGCGTGTTTGTTTCCAGAAAAGAAAACAAGTTTATCAGTTTCGTTAAATCCTGGCTAGTTAGCATCAGACCATGTTCTTTGAGATTGAACGCATTGTGAACCGGTTTTTCAACCGTTAATAAAAGCACAATAAAACAATTTTTAAGGTTTCAGAAGAGCTTGGTAAACAATCGGTAGTTTTTATTTAGGCAACGTTTCGCTTTTGACACAAAAGCTTCATCAGGCCACGTGAACAGGTCACCAAATTGGCCAGGTTATAAGACAGACGGGGAAACAATCTGTAAGTACTCTTCACACCAGATCAGTCTTGAGTGTCAATTAAGGGCTCTTGTTGGCTAGTGTGGGTGCCAAAATCTTGAATTGATGGGTTGGAGGAGTTCCAAATTAGAATACTATAAACGAGAGATTCAGTTGAGTCTCTCGTGAAAACCAAATTGATTTGCAAATGAGTGTATTTCTCGAAAACAGTCCAATTTGGGTTGACGGAAACTTGGGGACTGCGCCTACCTGATGAGCTCCAAGAAGGACAAAACCAGTCGTGGACTATCGAAGAGTTTTCAGCAACCTTGTGAGTAGTTTATTTTATGAGTTCCAAATTGGTTCTGATCGCTTTTCGTTCCTCAATCTTCCACTTCATTGCTGAAAACTCTTCGACAGCCCTCAGCAACCTTGTGAGTAGTTCCCTTCATAAAAGTATACTGCGGTATCTCGAATCATGAGGCGGCCTGCGTGCAGCACATTCAGTTGTAGAACGTCATAAACGAGAGAATCATTTGGGTCTCTCGTGAAAAACCAAACTGGTTTGCAACTGAGTGTATTTCTCGAAAACAGTCGAATTTGGGTTCAACATAAGGTTGACAGAAACTCAGGGACTAAGAATACCTGATGAGCCCGAAGAAGGGGAAACCAGCCGTGGGCTGTCTAAGGGTTTTCAGCAACCTTGTGAGTAGTTTCCTTTATGAGTTCCAAATTGGTTCCGGTCGCTTTTCGTTCCTCAATCTTCCACTTCAGAATGATTCACTTGATGATTCACCTCGGGTGCCAATGATAAATTTTCCCTGGTTTTTGTGGGGTTGTGAGTGCTCTGACAATTTAGTTTGAGGGAGGTTGAGGTCAAGTGGAATGCAGATGATGACCACTCTTCTTTCTGATGACCGCGCACCAACACGTGTCAGCTCGAGTGACCCAATAACCGTTCTCCACACGCTAGCCAGTTCCACGCCTTCCATTCTGTTAACACTGGGATGCTTGGCGATTTCTACCGCCTCGGCAATCAGTCTGTGTGAGGTGGACCGTAGTCCTCGCCTCAAAACCTCAACATTTTCCAAGTCTATGTTGTGTCACGTGTCCAGTGCGTGTTCTGCATTTGCCGAGTCTTTCAGTAACGCTTGATATATTTTTAAGGTTGGTTTTGATAATTTTTTACTTTATTTTACAAACCGGTCATCACCAGAGCAGGTGGCCCTTTTACTTTTCTCCAGGATTGATCACCTCAAACGACAGAAAAAGTCCAATGGCTGGCACAACACTTTGGCGCAAAGTGAACGATCCAAAACTCGCTCCCGGATTCGCCCGTTTGCCAGACCAGCTTGATGTGGATATCACCTTGAACTGTTCGGACTATGACGCGTGGCCTTATAGCATGGGAGCAGGACGTCAAAGTTTTCGTGATCTTCTGGAGGGATTTACCGACCCGAAAGATGGGGATTCCATCATTTTGCCGTTGCCTCCCGGTAGTGCCAACGACATCAACGTGAACCAGACCAACACGACAGTGTCGGTTGCCCCACCGATCTCCAGTGTACTCAACATTCAGTGCATATTTGCTGTCGCTGGTGATGATGATGATGATGGAGTGGTGACTGCTCTGTGGAGGAGTCGCAGGAGAAGATCTGGTGGAATGTTCTATTGAAATCGACGCACGATCAACCTCTCTATGAATTGCTCTATTCTTGGAGAAGTCCCATATGCCGAACCCTGAAGAAAGTACTGTATGGTTTTATGAACTACCTCGGAATGATTGTAGTAAGTAGTGGGTTCTTACTTACTTGTTTCCGTTCAGCTTGAGGGAAAGTTTAGTCTGGCATTCTTCAAGATGTGTTTCAAGGCTAAAAAATAGGAGTTATACATATTATCTAAATCGCTACCTTCATCAAATACAGTTCTCGTCTCATTATTCTAGGGCATATGGTCGCCAGACAGCTGTTCATTTGTACACAGCAATTTCGAATATGACTGAACTCGATGTGGCTTACAAACTAGTGCGTTACGCAGATATATAATACCAATTTTTATGACAGTCATGAAAAATAGGTAGATTTCTGTTAAAACAAAGGAGTTATACACACCTTCTAAATAGCTGCCTTCATCAAATACAGTTCTCATCTCACTAGTTTAGGGCATACGGTCATCAGAAGTTATTAATTTGTACGCAGAAATTTCGAACATGACTGAACTCGATATCGTTTACAACAGTGCATTACACAGATATGTAATACCAAATTTTATTACAGTCATGAAAAGAAGTAGACTTTTGTTACTTTTGGCTAGTGATCGTTTTTCGAATGATAAAAGGTGAGGGTTTTACGATAAACGAGGGGTTAGTAAGCCACTATATGAAGGAAAAAATGTCACGGAGAAGTTTGTCACTCTCCTATGAAGGCAGATGATGAACGACGAAGACCAGCTGAGTTCCTCGGCTCATCAATGCAAACAGAAGTCATGGCGTCTGATGAGTTTTATCCAAAAACATTAGGAAACAATGAAATATCCTCTCATATGTCACTGGGATGACTTAGCTCTCTTTTATCGGTACAGAACTGAAAATTAAAGCATGGGCAACGTAACGTCCAACAACGAAGAGTACAATCGATTGGTTAATTTAGCTACTGAGCCGTTGTAAGTAGCTCACAATTATTTCACTCGATATTTCGGTAGCCGTGCCAGTCTTCCAGACGGTGCCCTGAATTGCGAGAAATCCCCGTTTTCGCAGCGTCCTTAGTTACATTTTTACCAACCCCCATCAGAATGACATCAGAATGACGAAGTGGCTAGTTTATTCTGGAATGAGGACCGCTTTTATTTGGCACAAAACCGAGATGGTAATATTAGTTCGTCCATCAGATATTGCAGTTCTTAACAAAGTAAGGAACAAGCATCCAGTCGGTAAATATCAATTTATTCACCAAAGTACACCCAACGACCAGCAACAATGCACATCGTTTTGAATACTGTTCAAACGTACAACATGTGATTTTTTGAATACCAGTTGTTGGGTCGTTTACCTGCCAAAAATTCGACACTGGTAGACACCTGAGTGTGGGTTGTACGCGTCTACGAGATTCGAACCCATATCCGGTCTTTAGTCTAATGTAATAATTTGATTGATAGTCCTCTACATATTGGGGGGGGGGGGGAGAACAAACCCACCNTGGGGGGGGGGAGGGTGGAGTATACCCACCATATACTCGAATATACCCCTGGAACCCAGGATGCTGCGTGCTCTTTCACCACACAGCTTAACTACGGATTTTTTTAGCTGTTCGCGGTTTTAGGTTTTGTAGAATCCACACCCCATGACTCGTTTGAACAGTTGTCCACCTGTCCTGATGCAATCAACCAGTTCACACCAAAAGGGGAGAAACACTGGACTCGAATTTTGTTCTTGTTAGAGCTCGTCAGCATTGCGTGTGCTTGGCATTTTTGGGGTTGGAACCAGGGACATCTAACGCATCTAACGTCTCCACTAGCGCATGCTGGGCGCATATGAATTTTTACAGGTGAACATGTTTACGCTTGAACGATGAGAACAGAGAGCCCAATCTCTGGAACAACGAACCAATAATATACCTTGGTTGTGTCGATCAACTGGCCTGCCTGTCAGGACTTCCCAGTGAGGTTCACTACAGGTTGTCATTCAATTCCAAAGCTGGAAAGAAAGTCAAAACCAGCCACCAACACAAGTAAGCATGAAATCCTTATTGGCCAACCCTTTTGACAGGTGATAAAACATCCACCAAGACGAGCCAGTCATACTACCGACAAACTATAAGTAGCTCAGATGAAGAATAGATTCATCTGGTAAGCAACTTCGGGAAGCCAGTCAACATATATGACCAAGTGATTGGGATTCGTGATTGAGGGATGAGTGGCGCTGTATCTTGTCTGAGTGCGAGCTGACCAGCTGCTCGCGCTGAAAGCCTAAAAGTTCGTGAGATGCGCACTGCTGATGATTCTCAGTATGGATGAAATAGCTCTACAGTGCTTCTTGCCTTGCCAGCATTGATCGTCTCCACCTACCGCTGAAAAACTGTATTGGAATTCACGATAAACTGAAGTGAGATAATCGGAAAAAGTATACGACAGACCAGTTTTGTATATTCCAAGGCCCATTTTCTGAAAGTGCACTTTGCCTAGCGTGACTGGGTTGATGGGCGTTTGTGGTGATTCACTCGATACTAGCACAACAACAATGTTAAAACGCTAACTTTCTTTGTAACAGATTTATCTTGTTCTTTCAATTTTACCTCTTTTTAAAGGTTCATAGCTACTTCAACGGGTCCTGGTTTGACGTGGCAACCAGTCCAAACGATCCAATCTTCTTTCTTCACCACACTTTTGTCGACAAGTTGTTTGAGCTCTGGATACGTAAAAATCGACCGTCACCTGAGCAAGTAGGTTCATCGGATGATAGATGTTCCCTTTCGAATGAAGGATTTTTCCCGGGGATAGCCTAGGCTTCTTGTGTATGTGAAAAACGTAGGAAGCTATGTGTGTTTTCCCTTAGTCATCGCACTTTTATTTAGGACTAATAAAAATATTGGTCGCTCGAAAATGCCTATTATTAGACGGGTTGATATTAGTACAGGTGGTTGTGAGGATACGTTTTCGTGGCATTTGCCCAAAGTTAGCTGTTCAAACGAATCATCACTGGCTCGACATTTGCTTGGCACACAGGTGGCATTATCACCAAAAATAGACAAAGGACCCAGCGTGCACACCTTCATAAGCCAGGTTTGAAAGATGTTATAAATAATTCTCAATTGGTTATTCAAAATACCAGAAAGTTTGAGGTTTGATCGAGAATGAAGCAACTTATCACTTTCATGTGATATTGAGTATCGTAGCAAATGAAACTCAAGATGAGCTTTTGTACAGCACATTCAGTTGAAGAATATCAAAAACAGTGATTCAACTGGGATTCCGTTGAGTCTCTCATTGAAAACAAACTGGTGTGCGAATTCGTACAGTTTGGGTTCATGTAGAACACAGGGTTGACGGAAACTCGGGTAATGAATCTACTTGATGGGCCCTAAAAAGAGAGACAGCGGTCATGGACTGTAAAAGAGCTTTCAACAGACCGGTCCAGTTGCAGGTCTGGTCTCGTTTAGCTGACGACACTTTGAGCTTTCTGTGTCGGCATCAGTTTCTCGGTTTCCTTAAAATATAAGTTTCTTTTACTGTTCTATTTCCGGGACAACATTTGTGCGGAATCTCAAATCTGGAGTCAGCAGCCCGTGTGACAACTTTCGTGTGTGGTTTGAACTCGGTAGAAATGGCGATCCATGATCCACAGAATTCGAACACTGAGCGGATTGACCGCGTACTTTTTACCACAACTGAAATTTCTTCAGGCTCTTCGACATTCACATGGCTGGATGACTGTCAGACTACGGCTCATTGCAAGTTGGACTGTGCATCTCCATGACGAAAAGATGCGAGTGCCCATACTTTCTATCCTAGCTACCCTTCTGTTGGGTTAGAATAAGTGATTTTATGTCCTCACGTGACCAACCTCTTCAGAACTAAAACTCGAAAATTCCATGAACACTAATTTGATCAGCTGGCGTCAAGACAACAAAATTCCCGGAGAAGGGGCGCGGTGAAGTATACAACCAGCCCATGGTGCCATCTCGTCGACGACGTTACTTGGCTTCTTCTATCTTAAGCTTAACTTTTAGCGAACACTTGTACAACTGAATCCACATTAGGGAAGCAACCAAACCAATATCGGGTTGTACCATCGTGCACATGGTGTGCTAGTACATTCTACGGGACTTCAGTCGAGTGGAAATCAAGGATACATGTTGAACTGTGTCAGATATGATGAAGTAATGACATGCTAATTTCGTAAACTGAGATGACTCTCAGTTCACATACCACTACACCAAATTGAGAGCAGCAGTGTTCACCTGCACACGAGACGCCTTCCGAAGACACCTGAGGCGACAAGAATTCTGCATTGTGCTTACAAAAAAAATTCACGACGTTCCTACTGGGTACCCTTTAACTCGAACTGAATCTCCCATTCAGGACTTCAGACCTGTATCCTCATTGATGATCAGGAGAACTTTCAAATGAATCAATCAGATATGGGCTTATTACAGATGCCACAAGCATACCGGATAAAAGCGCTTTCATTGGATGGCAGGTTAGGGAGGGACAAATGAAACCTCTCATGTAATGAAATCAACAACGCTGATGGTACATATTGAAGTTGGGATACGCACTGTAGGAAGATGTCGCCATTAATGCCCAGGAGATTGAGATACTTGATCAGAAGAGAAAAAGGGCAACTCCAGTTAAAATGCAATCAATAGGATACGGGGTGACTTAGAGCGGTCAGGCGGCAGAAAGGCTGGAGAGCATTAACAAAATTCTTTTCTACGGGACTGTATTTTGTTTTTTTTTTGCATTACCCCGGGGTCCCTTTTCTCTGTGTTTTCAAGTCAACTGGTTTTGATTTCTAATGGCCAACTGAAAACCAAAAGTCATTCAGCTTTCTCAATGCAGATACAGTATTTCGTGCACCGTTGTGCTCAAATAAATGTCGGGTGTTCCAAGTGTCCTGAATCAAATTTCTATTTAATCAACTCATAGCCATTCCGCATTTTGAAAGGACCAAAATAGTGATTGCTTACTCTGCTGTGGGTTACATCATACTAAAACCAAACCTCACCAAGTTCCCACCACTGGAGTGTCATGCAATTACTAAACTTGTGAAAAGCATCAAGGTCATTTCCTACATCTCGATCGATCTCCTGAGCACGATTCCATTTTTTTAAATTTGCGCCTCACAAAAAAAAACAACCAATCAACGGACAGTATCCGAAGACCAATTGCCCACCTGGTCACGGCGCCTATTCGGCCCTGGTCCCGTTTATTCCAATCACAACGAATATTGACTACTTCGTGGATTCCAGAAGCCTCGGTTACAACTACGACAATTACTTGGCTGGAAAAACCATCGTAGTGCCTGGTGAGTATATGTTTCAGCAAACTATATCGTTGCCCAAATTGTGTTGATCTAGATTAGAATAACAAGTATAAAAAAAGCTTTATTCATACCGTCGTATAACATATAGTTTANAAGACAGGCACAACCACTAACCCACCGCTACGCACAACTACACTCCTCAATAACGCACCGATGATGTCACCTCGACTGGTGATGAAACGTTTGCAATCCAGTTGCCCAGCTCAGCGAACAAGCCAACGACCATCTACGCTACCTGAGCTACCGACATTTTCCTTCATGAAAAGACACTTTCTAGCCAGACTGGGTTCTAGCAATGTTGTGGAATGTAGGTAGCTCAGGTGTGCGGCTTGGTTGTTGGTCTGTTCGCCGAGCGTGGCAGTTGAATTGCAAACGTTTCATCACCAATCGAGGTGACATCGTCAGTGCAGGGTTGACTACACTGACCACGTCACCTTGGTTGGTGATGAAACGTTTGCAATCCAACTGCTAAGCTCGGCGAACAGACCAACAACCAGACTGGGTTCTGTAGTTCACTCGTGGATGCTTACGTTGTATAGTGTTTTTCCATTCAGTGCAGTTATGCATTGTGAGAAGCGAGAGATTGGTTGTCGTGCATCGGAACTATAACAGATATTGGTTGTTTGTTGAGCTAGCCGACTGTCCGTCTAAACATAGAGTTCCGTGCTTCAAATTGGGAAATTCCAGACAAGTGGATAAATGCTTATGTATGACCAACTGTGGATACTGATGTACGGCGACTAGAACATCATCTTGGTCATATAGAACAGTTCGTATTTAGATTTCTTCCAAGATGATATTATGGAATTCATCGGCCTTAAATTGCGCGCTTTACAGTAGAGAGCCGTGATGCCATCGTAATCGCGATCTGAATTAGCGGTTGCCAACTAGGGGGAAAGGAATTTCCTTCCTCGGCGGGAGAATTAAGCTTGCTTTTGGAAGGATTTTTCCCGGATTCCTTAGATGTCCTCTCCGTTTGTCACCACACTCCCGACGTAACCGTTTCGCATGACGAAACCCACAAGAAATAATCTCATTTGCCGCAACTTTTTCCGTAAAGAGAGTCTTTGAAGCTTGGAAGCATTTCTAAAGTTTCGGATGATAGAATCTCTTAGTAAATTTGAGATGGTTTGATTGATTTTCAGTGCTGGCGAAGCTTGTACACGCGTACATACGTTCGTTCGTCACAAGGACGCTTTGTTTCTGTGGCACGATCAAGTGGCCCGGCCAAATCACCACTGATGAAGAGGGACTAGCCCCAGTCAGTTGACTGAGGCACCCCACTGGTGCTGTGGCGCCCTTTTGGTGCCTAACCCCATGCCACCAGAAGGAAGTACAAGGGCTGGGATACTGCTAAGTTACCCAAGCCTAGATAGGAAAAGTCGAGAGGCAGAGGTCGGATTCGAACCACGGACCTTCCGCTCAGTGATTTCCCCCTTGAACCACTGAGCCATCTCGTCCTATCATGCCTGACCATACATTTACTTCGTGGTCTGCGTTTTCAATTGACAGAAATAAATAAAACTCTTGAATTCCGAAATTTGGGCCTTTTAATCTTTCAGTTCAAATTAGTTTTACCACGCCGAACCTATAATAACAATGAAATAAACTCACTCATTTGTTTTTGTAATGCACTACTCGTAAGGTTGCTGAAAACTCCTCGACAGCCCACGACCGGTTTCGTCCTCTTTGGGGCTCATCAGGTAGGCGCAGTCCCCGAGTCTCCGTCAACATTACGTTCTACTTGAAACCAAATTGCGCGAAATTAGCAAAATACACTCGAAAAACCAAATGAGTCTATTTTGCTGACACGTTTGTTCGTTATGCCGAAAGGAAAATTCTTTGAAGAACAAGTCACCGGCTTTTTGAGTGTATCATATGAAAACAAATTCATGCGATAAAATGTGAAGGTCCGTGTCGTGACGAATGACGGTAGGACATACGAAGTGCGAGATGGCCCAAATGGTTAGAACGTGAATTTACTGACCGGAAGGTCCGTAGTTCGAACCCGACCTCTGTCTCTCGACTTACCCTGTCTAGGTTCGGGCAACCTGGCAGTATCCCAGCTCTCGCACAGCCTTTGGATGGCATGGCAGTTAGACACCAAAAAGGTGCTACATCTGGATGCTTTATCTTTTTTATACAAAGTACTTTTCCTGGTCGCAGAAGCAATGAATCGAGTTTTGTTCATGGGGAGACTAACTAGTTTCTGTCAACAGCGATCGCTCTGATACACGATACACATCTGCGATATCTATCAAGACGGTTAACTGGTATCTGCTGATGGAGAACGGATGATGATGATGATGCGAATACATGTTCTGTACAAATGACCACACTCACCTTTTACCTTTCAGATGAAGGAGTGCAACCTAATTTGGCCTCATCATCAACCAACGCGACAAACCTGCAAGTTCGCAATGCCCCGATTATTGCCTCGGTGGTTTTGAGTGCCCTCCTACTGTCTTCTTTGATAGTGCTTATAATTCTTCTCGCCTCGTTGGTTCGCCAGAGGCAAAGTCATTACATTCCAGTTGACTCTCCACATTCGACGGACCATCACTTGGCCGCAATGGACACGTGGGAGAGGGCCAACTATATCCTTCCTATCCGACGGTACCGCACTTCCGTATCCGAGGAGAACGCACGACTTCTTTCTCCTACCAAGTGAGGGATCATGCAACTGATGACGACACATTGCCTTTTGCTGTATTTGCTGCTCCTGTGTAACGCTGAAATCAAAAGACTGTCATCTTCCACATTTGTCACTTCTTTGTTTTTTATCTCTAGTCCCGAGGCCCTAATATCAACGGCCGTATTATTATTGTTGTATTTCTTCAAAGACTGACGTGTTCATTGTCTGCATCTTAATCGCATTTCGCTTGTAGTCAGCACCATCAAAGTCCACTCACTCGGCATGGTGTATGTGGTTCCAGCCGGGGGGGGGGGGGGAGGCCAGTGTGCTCAAACATTAAAGAAGCGTTTTAACTTGCAGTGGCAATACGGTATCATAATACTAGTGAAAGGAAGAAGAAGGCCTTCGCTGCGGAGTTATTTATTAGAAAACGCCAAGTGAACAGTTACAGACTATTGAACAGGGGAGAATAACTCACATATGCATCTTGTTTACAAAACTGAATCTCCTTGAATGCGCATACCTGAACTTTCCTGGATATTCATTGACTGTTGCTCAAATCCAAGCAAATGCTACAAAGCGACTCCACAAATTCCGCAACAGATCTCCCTTTTCAAGGGACGCAAAGCGAAGTAACAAGAAGAAATATACTACTCGCATGCCTCCCCATCAGTAGTAACACCGTTACACTAGGACCCGTGCTCCTCAAGTTTGACACGCCACCAACGTGATCCATTTTAATACGGGACTGCACACTCAGAGAGTGCGCTGCTCCATGGTTAGCATTTGGAAGAATACCGGGCGTCTTTCTGAATCAAAGCTTCAGTCCATTGCCGGGTTCTGTTTCCATCATTCACAAGTGTGTATTTTCAATGAAAGGTTACATCCAAGTGCATGCATGAACCTATCCATACCAAATACCATGTTCAGTTACCTATGTTTAAATTCTCTTGCATCTCTATCATGGTTCACAGCTCAGACATGCCAGCTCATCGGTATACTGCAGGATTAGTCCACCGTGAATTACATGGGCTACGATGCCCTTTAATTGCGGTTGAACGAATTTCCCTCAGAAAACAAACTATCTGACAGCTGAACTGTGATTATTTAGGCCTACTGGCTTGAGAGATTTAAGCCACAACTGACTGAGTGTTCACAGTTTCCTTCAGCAGGTGGAACGTATTGCACGCATCGTTTTTTCCAATAAGATTATTGGATCAAAACTAAAGCCTAACATGAACTGTAAGTTCAATCAAACCGGTTTCGTTTTTAACGTCGGGTGGATGGCATCATCCGACAACTGTGTTGACAACAAAGCTGCCTTTGTATGAAACGACCTGCCAGACATTCGACTGGGCAGTTGAAGTCAAACGGCGATCAAAGGCAACTTTCACCATATCAACCAACCGCCAAACCGTCATAGAAATATTTAGACACGGTGACGTGCGGGAGTGATTGAATCGCGCAGCTCAAAACCTATAGGTTCAGTAAATAACTTATGTGGACTGAAGACTAGAGTTGCATTTATATTGACGTAATACACTACTCATAAGGTTGCTGATATCCCTCCGACAGCCCACGACCGATTTCGCCCTTCTTGGAGCGTATCAAATAGGCAAGATCCCCGAGTTTTCGTCAACCGCATGTTCTCTTTGAACCCAAATTGGAATGATTTTGACACATACACTCGCTTTCATACCAGTTTGGTTTTTACGGGAGACTCACCTGAAATCCAGCTGAATCTCCCGTTTAAAATTTTCCTTCTCAGGTGGGTGTGCTTCACCAGACAACTTCATATTTCAGTTGGTACGATCTTTGAACGATTCAGGTGGGTAAAATTGATATTCCTAACTCTATAAGTAATGCTCCACTCTCTTCTAAATACTGTCTGGAGGCGTTCATTTGTATAAATTCCACGCTCGCCGATTTAGCTGATTCCAAATTTCCACCCCAGTGCAGCAAAAGCTATCAATAAATTAAGTGAAAATGTTTGACGAAGCTTCAAAAATCGAGTGTGAACATTGTTTTTAACTAAGTTTTCAAAATTTCCCCGTTTGTTAGGACTGCGCATAGATCGTCGGTTGATCACCATCGATTGTCTTTTCGTAACACCCGATATCGTGTCAAACCAAACAAGTTCCCAACTAAAATGCTGTCTAATATTTTTGGGAAAAATGTTGTAGGCAGTGAGTGGATGGATTACTCTGTGTTTCTATTGTGTAGAACAGAACGACCATTTATGCACTCTGTATAATTGTTATATCTGCTGATTCGTCAAGCTATGGTATCCCCTACTAACCCGCTCCAGTGCCTAGTTGCCGGAACAAAGACTCACAGAAGAGAACACAACAACTATATATTCCGGACAAGCGAGTGCGAGAGTAAAAGTTACAACGGCCCCACGCTATTTAAAGGGGACTTTCTGACATTGATCCAGGCTGTCTGATAGGCGTGGGTGAACACCAGTCAACATCGATCGTGCCTCTATGAAACGCCTGAACGCTGATCACATTCGGTCGTGCGTGCAAGAACACTCATCAGCTTTTGCTGAATTGATTGAATGATTGACTGGCCTGGATACTTACCGGCTTTCCTGTTGAGATTTTGGTGAAGCAGTAGGTTCCTTGTATTCTGAGGTTCCTTTCAAGAATCTGACCCTCTGATAATAATCGTCGAAGAGTTTTCAGCAACGTTTTCAGTACTCTGTTATGTCGAACTGTTTGTTGTTCGAACTGTATCATTCAATAGCTATTGGAATGGTTTCATACTCCAGTTGAACTGTTGACACTCAGTTTCCAATGTCTGACTGAAGAAAGCTTGTTCAAGTTATTGGTTTCAATGCCCAGTTATGTGAAGTCAGCAGCCTTGGTTATAATCAATAAAAGTCCATGGCTTGATTTTATGAGCTTTTGTTATATTTCACGGAAAAACCACAAGTATTCGATGGCTCATTGCACAGGGATTGGAAATACACCAAGTCCCTTACCATGCAATCGTTCGCGTCATTAGTTTGGTTTTTGTAGGATTGACAGGACATAAAAATGGTCTCATCCATTACCCTACTTATGAAATTCATCCTCGTAGACGGTCGTCAGAGGAGAGATTGTCGCGATCATATCAGTCTATGCAGTCCACGTAAGACTATCATAGTTACTAATGGAATGCTAATGGAATTTATATCCGCATGCTATGGTGAGAAATACCGTTCCTGTCATCTATACAATTATCTACCGCGAAGACACTTTACACAGCAATCATGCTCTCCTACCTGGTGATTTTGATTCCCAAACTGCGGTTCACCAGCCTCGACGATATATTGTTACTCTTACTCCGTCGATTCTTCAGAACGTCCGTTATGATCTTCTGATGAAGTAAACAGCCCATGAGGTTACTCAAGACCACTGACCTTTAAACGATCAGTTTTTTCTTCTTCAGGAGCATCAGACAGGCGAAGTCACAGAGGTTTCATCAACGTTGTATTCTAAATGAAGCAAAATTCCACGACGTTTGCGAAACGCAGCCCGTCCAAGCCAACTCGGTTCTGACAGGGAACTCGACTAAATGCTAGCTGAATCTTCCATTCATGATATTCTTCTGTACACACACACAGATTTAGCTCACATCAACAGATCACAAATTACTAAGTTAACGCAAACTCAGCTTACAAACAAGTGGAAGTTGCCGATGAGTTACAGTTTAGTTTTCAAGCACGATATAATTTTGATGGGAACTTAGGAGCTGCGTTCCACCTAACGAGAAAGGCGGACGGCGATACCGATCATGGGCTCTCTAGGACTCTTGTCTGACCTTATTGGTAGTGTCTCGACATGAAAATGTATTGCGATATCTCTAATATCTTACCAACTAAGATTTGAAGTGGCCTTTGGACAAAAGATTCTGTTGTAGAATAGCCTAGGCGCAGTACTCAACAAGGGTTCAAGTGAGTCTTCCGTTAGCACCACATCAGTTTGAAAGCGTCCTACATATCACTTCGCTTTTCTCCGTAGTATTTCCACCACAAGTTATAGTTTCAGGTGTATTGCGAGGTATGATTTTGGTTTTTTTGTCACCAAAATGATTGTCCGTCACAATGGCAAGTGACTGAGTATCAACCAAACGACGGGCGAGTGTGTGTTCTATCCGAAACTTGGTCTTTCTCATTACCAAGAACATTCACAATTCATCGGGTTGGGAATGATTTGGATTGGACTGTTCAAAAAATCTTTGTTTCTTCGGGCTGACCATTGTCGTGAAAAAATGCGTCATCCTGCGGAGGCTTCTCTGATGGTCAAGCTCTTTGTTTCAGCGTGGTCCATTGCGACTTCCATAATATCGTTGCACTCTGGTGCTGAAAATTCAAGCAAGTAAAGCTTCAGACGTTAAATGACAACTGTATTGGTCTGGCTACCCAATACGTTAGTTTACCAGGAGTGTGTGGCAAAGAAATAAAAATAATAACACTAGGTTGGGTATGCGGTAATAAAGAGGTCAGATGGAACAGACTCACTAACAATCGTTCTCTTTAAAATAGTTCGTCGTTGGCCCAGGTCAGCGAATAAACAATAATCCAATTATGTTGGTCCAGAGGTCTTCTTCTGAACAGTTCCCACATATAATAGATTCCGAAGATGTCTGAAATGTTTTGGTACCAGAGTTAGTACATGAGACTCGCGAATGACCGCTGCAAGCGCGAGCGAAATCAGAAGAGAGAGTCGAAGCACGTGACCACGCTTGTATTCTGTGAAATTGTACAAGTGCGCGTTTTTTGTAGTTTTTCGTATTCAAACAAAAAGCGATTACGCAATTGATGAAATACGTAGTGTTATAATGGAAGTAAAATAAAGGCACAAAACGCCACACAACTCAGACGTTTTGGAAGAGAATGAGATCTTTTGCACTGTGCTCATGAGATTCAGATTTCCAATGAGTTTCGAGGATTTCAAACACTCAAAACTGATAATTACGCCATCTTCGCTTGACATTGCTACTGTACTAGTAAGCTCTCTTCCTTTTGAATACGGACTAACTGAAATTGG